AATCCTAAGCACGTCAAGCACGTCTCTGATTATCCAACCGGTCAGGCGGCTGACCGGCCCACCAGGTGCACTTTGAAAGTAAATCTTCGGGTATTGGCATCTGGTCTCCTCATCCAACCGGTCAAATAACCCGGGCTGAAAAAGACGCGTGCTGTTCGGTGAACCAACCGGGTGGTATCCTTGGGTTATTACCCATCAACTACGAAAGTAAATACTCAGACATACTCATATTTATGTCTTTTATAAAATTTTTACTCATATTTATAGGGATTTTCCATTATATAATACTATGTTAGTAACTGCTTCTTCCGTTCTAAAATGTTCTTCCCGTCTCTGTCTACAATGTTTTTCAATTCAATTTATTTGATTGTAGGTGTAAAATTAAAAAATAAAATTTATATATTTAAAAATTACATCAAAAGGTTTACAAAACAAGAGGTGACAAGATTATATTATTTTATCAAATAACTAACAAAAATAGATAAAGAAAATAATTAAAGTTTAATTATGTGAATAGTAAAAGGGAAGAACATTTCAGAACGGAAGGAGTAAAACTTATTAATGAGTAATTTGAAAAAAACTACTCATTAGAAGGAACCTTTTGAAATTTTACTCTTTTTGTTTACACCTAAACCCAGTGCAGGTCATTAAAAAAAAGTAATGCTAGAGTCACAAACAGATAGTTTACAAAATTCCCAAACTTGTTTTTCTAACACTTTCCTAGAAATAAGATGTCTGCAAATAATAAAGGTTATTTTAATTTAAAATCTACAAAAGGCAAATTTGTGAAGTTTGTGAACTATATGTTTCTGACTCTAGCATTTTGCTTAAAAAAAACCTAAGGCAGCATTTAGGGGCAGAAGCCAAAGTAGCACCTTACCAGCCCCCAAGCCTGCTCCCCTCCCCTGACTCTTCGATCTTTGATTGTGTTGATTCCAAGCTAAGTCGCCGGACGTCGACGATTTGTTGTTTGTCCGTCCGACGATGACCGGTGTCCAACACTTCATCCTTTGATGCAGCGGTTGCAGCCCCCGAACAGTTGCAGCGGCGGTTCCGCCTCACCCAACCGCTCCTTTCAGTCTCCGCCTCAGCCCTCAAGATTCAAGTTCCTTAGGTACCGACTAAGTTATCTTCTTTCATAAGTTCAATTCTTATTTACGAATCGCGGAGGCTTTTTGCTTAATATTC